ATCCAGAATATTACATTGGTTTTCATCATCATAATCAAGAAGATATTTATGTTGTTTTGCCAAATCAGTAATATCAATATGTTTCAATGATGAATTGGATGAACATAATTGTTGACATAGACGAGATTTACCTACACCTACATTGTATAAAAGAACAAATGAATGGAATACAATGGATGTGTGATAATCTACCATGTGTTCCGCATATCATAATATTAGGATATTGTTTTTTCGACGTCATCTAGTTCAAATCTGAAAATGGCAATAATCACAGAAATGTTTGACAAGATTCATTCTTGCTTAATTGAATGACGTATATGTGAAAAAAAATACAAGAACAAGAATTGCAATTCATTTGGTAAACCTTGGAAAAGTATTGAATAGATGAGTGAGTGAATCGTTTTAAAGGAGAACGGGAAGATGGCGCTTGAGATTGATTTACTTATTTTTAATACGTTTGACTCTGTTGTATGTTGAGACATAGTGGTAAATACATGATTAACAAAATCGAATTATATGCAGTTTACAGTTTAAATTGAAATGGTATAAAAGTTTCAAGGTGATTTATATCGGTGCATTGTGACTTTATCTGAAGTTGATTACTTGTCTGTTTGTTTTCGATTTGATTAGTAGTTCTATCGACATTTTCAAATGATTAAAAGGTAATGCAGTAAAGTGGAAAGGGCTGCTATGGCAATAGCTGACTTAATCTCCTTTTCATTTTGCTCAGAGATTATTTCTATATTAGTAAGGAGAATATTTTGTCTAGACTATAGATATTTATGGAGTTTCAAGCTTTCAAAATGACCTTTTTTTCTCAGTGGAGGTTAATTCTTCATTCGTACCGAAAAAGGTTTCACATAGAATGAATAAACAGATTTGTCATTCATTTACTCTAAAAATGAAAATCAAACAAAGAAGAAAGAAAAATCAAGTAGTATTGCTCCTTCTCTTCCTCTCAACATTCTTCAATATATAGATGTGTCCTTCATCTTAAGAAGAGTATTATAAAGGTTCAAGAAAGGAGACTAATGGATGGTTGCACTATTCATTACGTCTCTATTTGTTATTGAAAATATATAGAGAAAAAAAAAGAAAGAATCAATGCATTCAACATATTAATCTAATCGAAACACTTCTATGCCATCATCATTGTCTTTCTTACTATATAAAAACTCAGATTTACCGTTGAAAACTCAGGCGAGAAGCAGTACAAACAACAATCGTGGTATAAATTCTTACCCATACACGAACAGTGCTTTAGAACATCCGACTAAAGTTAATGCGAGTTATGTTTCAAACTCTAACGGTATTACACAGGGAAGAGAAAGCCTTAGAAATCGATTAGCTCGATATTCAATAGTGTCCGATAGTATTTGGAGAAGACATAATATACGAAATGATATTAAATCAGTTAAGCCTGAACCATTGAAAATGGCATCGAATGAAAACTCATTCGTAAGTGCGAAGAGACGTCGAGAAGCTGTAAGTAAAACTAGAAATATCTGATGTCATCTGATCCTTTCTTTGATAGTTTTCTCCTTGTTGGAGAGAATCAGCATCGGAAAATTTCGACTCAACTACATCGATATCTAATCTTCCTACGAATACGAAAAACGATCGCACTACTGTCCAATTTCCGATTCAATCAAATTCATTACCACTATCAATGACTTCTCATTCGACTCGAATACCAGAAAAACGGTTGGTTTTAGTATGAAGATAACTCTATTCAAATTAACGTGTATTGCTTTCTTCTAGACAAATTTCATCATTAGATCCAAATCCAGTTCAGTTCTTCGCAACAGACGACCAATCGAAACAACCATTACCTATCATTCGTTCAAAAATCGTTTCTTCCTCGGCAAACAATCCGTCTCCATCGAAACTGAATCAAAACCCGTTGTCAAGTAGCGATGATAATAGTGAAGACGAAGTAGAAACCAATAACTTAAAAGAAGATGACTTGAAACGAAAACTAAAGGAAGAAAAACGACAGAGTAAACGAACAGCAGAAATTTTACATAAACTACATGAGAACTACGAAGAACTCTTGGAAAAATATGCTCAAGCGGAAAACACGATTGATCAACTACGTTTTCAACCGAACAATTCTCGATTTCTATCAAAATCTAATGGAATATGTCCTTCCACAAGTGATCCACCCTTATCATCGATACAACCAGAATCATTATCCACAACATCAACTATAAAAAGTAAGTAGTTCTCATCCAAAGTGTCCAAGACAAACATGATAAGAAGACATGTAATCATCGAACTTGTATCAAAAACAGTTCGATAGATCGATTGTGTAAGCATAAAATCGAACACTTCACACATCTTCGTACCTGTATGTACATTGCTTCAAGATGAAGTACATGTCCTGTTTGTTCAGTTTCTTCTTCTTCTTCCATTTTATATAATGCTTTTTCTTTTGTTATTTTTCTGGCATGTCATCGGCCAATTCGTGTACAATCGATTCGGTTTTCTATGAGGAAAATAGTTCCGCACAAAATTTACCGATACTCGAAACTGTAAAACTCGATCTACTCATTCAATCAAAGACACTAGGAGACAATGTAAGTTCTCCTGATAAGAGATTTTTAATAAACTTTTTTTGTTATAGATGAAATCACTCCTGACATTGATGAGCGCAAATCAAGTCAATCAAACCGAACAAAAACAAGTTTATGAAAACATCAAACAAGATTATGAGCAATTAATTCGAAAGTTAGAACAGAAAAAACAGACTGGTAATTTTAACGATGTTGATCTCGATGGGTAATTAAATCTTTCCTATTTTCTTTTCATACGAAATAATAATTTACATATACTAGCGATTTGAATACAGAATTAGAATTAATGAAACAATTGCTGAGAGAAATTGCATCAAGAATAACAGGCAATTTGTTTGGCAAATCGAATAACAATTCACCAACTGATCGACGTAGTGTTCCAATCTACGAGGATAGTCATTCGGTAATTTGAACTGTTTGAAAGATGAAAATATCGTTGATTTATGTTCACAGAGCCAATATGATCGATCTTCGCTGTGCAATCACGATGATCTCATGGAACAGTACAAGAAATTGTTGACAGCTGTTAACACAGAAAATACTGACCAAAACGATCGAATGAAATCGATGATGGATGAATTAGAGACTGATTTGAAAAAATCGCAAATCACGTATTATGATCGATTGATATTGACACTGTACCTAACTGCATCGTTTATTTATTTAGTTCTCCTCGTTTATGCCCACCAGATTTATTCCCTAATCAAATTGTAGAAGACAATAAACAGAAAGCATATGTCTATACATCTGCGGTATGTAATTTTCTTACCAACCACGATAAATTCGATGATTTTGTATTCGTCGCATTCCTTTGTGTTACAGCGAGGATTTCTTATGAACTTCTTTTTTAGGGTTCAGATGATGAACCTTCACAGAGCGATAATATATCGCCTATACCATTTACAAAGAGTGTGGAATCGACCTCAGCCGAGCTTCATTACATACCTTCAAGTTCTGTTGAACAGCATCAACATAAAATTCAAGAAGAACCTTCGAAACCTAAAATCTCGCCAAGGAGAGCGACGAAGAAAACTGCTTCGAGTACGCAGGAATACCATCGACTTGGAGACATCAGAAAACCAGAGCCTAAGGTAAAATTGTATCAAATAAAATGAAAATTTCCATTTAAAATCATTTTAAATAGGATATTCTGAGCGATGTTGAACAGATGAGGCAATCATCATTGGTTTTACCAAACGATGCAACTCGGAATTCGTATTGTTCAATTAAAACACGCGTTCAAGATTGTGATAGTGGCATAGGAACTAATACCGTTACAAAGCTTGCTTCTGACAGGTAAACGACTCTCGATATTAAATCAAAAGTCCAGTCTCTATTGCTTTTCCAGTAAACACACCAGTCCAATAGATGAAAGCCAATTACATTCGTTAGATGAAGATCAAGGTCTGGCAGATTAACCGACGGATGTTTTCAAAAATTGTTCATATTTGTTTTTAGTATCAATTTCATCATCATTACATTCGAGTGGTACAGATTCAGGAAGCCTTTATCGGTAAGTATTTCTGTATGAGGCTTACAAAAGCGATTTGACAGGCTTCTTTTCTTATTCAAGTAAACATAACAAAAGATTCACGAATCCAACACTACGCCAAAGGAAACAAGATCATCAATCTACAGATTGTAATCTCTTCCTTTTTCATACTTTTCTCTTTGTATATCCTCTACAATAGACTCTTACTTATCAGAAATCGATACTTATGTTACTCATCCATTCGATCCATTACCTCAACTTCCGCCGCACAACAAAAAACTACTCCGGAGTAATCAAGTCTGGAAACCGCAGCGAACATCAAGTCCACAACGTGCACGAATAGGATTCGTTCATCGAAGTGCATCGATCGGGGTTGGTGATATAGAAAAGTATAAAACCAAACTTCATCATCCGCTGAATGCCACTCAAATACATTCGGAAGTGAAAACACAGCCGACTGTGCATCGTAGTTCATTGCTAATCAATCATACACCGGAAAAATCGAATTTAGACCCTATAGATAAATTCTATTTCGACTCCAACAAAAGAGTTATCTAGTAAGCAATAGTAGCTTCTTTTCCAGTTGAAATCTCATCGTTTCTATCTAGTCGATATCGAACTAATGAACCGCGAAATTCGATTACAGTTGATCAGTCAGCAATCTCTCAGAAGAAAGTTTATCGTTGCGGAAAATGTGGAAGTGTGACACCATATCATCATCGGTTTGTATTTGAAAACCCGCTCAATGCTCTACTGATTCAATTGTTCATTCTAGTCGCCACGGTACTTCAGTGACACGAGAATCGGCAACTCAAGCAGATGATCTCGGATATGAAAGTGGTCACAAGTACGTACAGTACTGTATCTTATCACTTGCACTGATTCCTTTTTTTTTATATTAAAGACAGCGAAACCAACCATACCGATATACTCAATCCATCTCATCGTCAGAAAGTGATTCCGATCTAGTAGGATACTAATTTTATACGATAACTCGTCTTCAAAACTCATTGATCTTTAGAGTGCAAACTATCTCCAGATGATTGCGTTGAACGAAGCTTATGAACGAGCTGAAAAAGTTGAAAACTGTTCACAACGATTATCGAGATACATCACTCGACAACTTCGACTTGCTTTGACGCTTATCTAACAAGCGAACGAATATCGATACTTTCCAAATGACTCGTGATATTTTGTATTTTAATAATTTCTTCTTTTTTTTTTCTAAACAAAATTCGAAACTTCTCGATTTCTCTAAGTTTACAATCTTAAACATGTATTCCATATTTCGAAGATAAGCCGCACTATAGCGCCATCCCAATTCAAATCTAGTATTTCTTTCTTGTTCGTTCTATACTATCTATATAATCGTTAGCATCCACTGTATTCTTTATTCAGTGTATATTATCAAATCAACCGAGTTTTATTTTACGAATAATCTATTATTTTATCGAATTACAAACAAAAATGACCAAACGATCACTTGATATGGAAAACAAAGAAAACGAACCCGAATCCAATTCAGCTACTACAAATGATCCTCTTCCAGCTAAGAAACCGAAATTAATTGCTCAAACAAGTGACCATGAAGACGAAAAGGAGGTCGAGCACGATTCGGATGGAGAAGAGGATGAAGAAGACGAAGTAGTAGAAGAAGAGGAGGAGGAGGAAGGTCCCATTTCAATCTCCCAAGTGATCGAATTCAATGAAGGAACAATTCATCCAAAACACAAGGAATATTTCATATACGAAGGAACAGATCTTAGTATGGTCTCTCGAACAGCCCGTTTTTGGAGTCGAAAATATCTACAAGCGCTTCGACATGTCAATCCTGATGCATACGATGTACGTTTCTCATTGTCCACAAAAACATATGTATTTCGAATGTCTTGTTAGATGTACATTCATAATGATTTTGTTTGTTATGGTGAGCTGGAAGTCTTGGAAAATTGCCTCGTCGATCTAGCGAAAGGAACATTACTTAAACATAAGGACCAAATGAGCGGCGCTAATTGCATCACAGCCTTTCGTCGTTTAGAAGCATTAACAATAGTTCTTAAAGAAGCAGATAATTTTCCTGGTATGGACGATGGAGACCGTTTTGTCGCCATTTTACGTGTCATCGGTGCGTGTTACGTGTCGATTCTTGCTATTTTATTACCTAAATCATTATTTCACAACGGTTCGGTCGATAAAGAAGATGATATTAAGAAATTAACTAAACTTGCTCAGCAATTACCCAACTTCAAAGAAGTTCTTAAACAAGCTTTAATTCGTGCTCGACTCTATTTACAAATTGGAGACATTCCAACCGCTTATATCAACGTTTTATACGTAAGTTTTCAACATAATTCTATGTCGTATAATTCTAATTTGTATACTGTAGACGATCTATTGCCATTGGTCAACAATTATTGATAAAAATCGTATTGATTTGAATGTAAAATCCGATGAACAAGATGAAGAGATATGGGAAGCATTAAAGTGTGCGGCTCGAATAAAGAAAACAGCTTATAAGGAATCGTTCAACTTCTTGAAAGAACTCGAAATTTATTCAAAAATGTATCCTGACTTAGGTGGCCATTCACACGATCTTCGTAAATGGTCTAAAACTCGACGAAACATGTACTCTTTCAANAGTAAGAGTAAAAAAAGAAATCAACGCAACTAGCAACAATCGATATCTGTAGGGTTGCCCCATAAGTTCGTTTGTTAGGAAGATAGACAAACGTATATGTCAATAAATGTTGAAAATAAATGGAGGCGGTGAAGAATTTCTTGCAATAATATGCATTTGTGGTCTTGATGTCGTCAATAGATACTGATGGATATCTCCTTGAGTAAAAAATAATTATCTCTCTATCCTATCTGTCTGTCATATATCTCATATTTCTCTGAAACAACAAGATTAACTCTTCGAATAATTCAACTGATTATGTATGAAAATTTTTTTTTGTTTTCCTTTTCTCATCTTTCTTTATCCTCCCTCTCTCACTCATGTATTCGGCCGTTTAGTTTTATTGCGCTATAAGAATAATCTCATCTGTATTTGAAGAAGAAACTACAATACTAAATGGAGAAAGAGAGAAAGAAAGAAGGCAAAATAGCACATCATTCGCTCTCATCTTGTATGTTCTTTCTTCTCTAGAACTTTTCTCTCTTCATATTCATTGACAGAACAAACAGAATAGGTTCTCCTTTTTTCTTGTCGTCGCCATCTGAGCTAATAATTGACGAACGAGGCATAGGAGGAGTAAAGCGGTGGCGTATGTGCATATGCAAATGGCAAAAAAACCACATTGTTGCATCCAAGAGTTTAGTCATGTGCACATAGTTTCTACCATCATTGCAACAACAACAACATAACAGACATATGTATATGTACACATACAGGGGTAGTTAAAATACGTGTGCGTTATTTACTATTTGTTCGTTCTCAACGTCGTGTGCACACATAGACGAATGAATGAGTAAATTCTAATTGCTAACCATCACCACAGACACCCACTGCATACCTTCTACCTTTTCTTTCTTTTTTCTCTCGTTATTCATCTTCGTCCTCTTCCATCATCTCTCCATCGTGCTTCGTACGTACATGTATGTGTTCTTTCTATTCTTTGTGTCGATCGTCATATCAACGGGAGAAAAGGAGAAAAGGAGAGGAATGTTGAGGAGGAGAATACAATTAGATTGTTGGCTGACTGACTGCCTGGCTGGCTGGGTATATGGATGGCGACCCGGAGAAGAGAAGGAAGAAAAGAAGCGTCGACTGATTATTCATGCTTCTCTCTCTTTCTCTCCTTCTATTTTTTTTGAAACAACGCTTATATACGAACGAGCCAGGCAGGCGAGAGCATGAGAAGGCCCCGTTTGTTGATCTCTCGCATCGAACACATACATATGCACATTGTTGAGAAGAAACTACTAGACAGAAATCGTATGCCGCACTAAGCTCATTCAACTGTATCAGTAGTCGTCATCTGAATTAGAGTACAACACAAAAAAAAGACTTTTCATTTGACCTGCTTTAATATCTTGATTGCAAAATCAAATTGTTTTGTTATCTGTTTTAGCCTAATTTCTTCTTCTTATCGTTAATCTAAAACGTATCATGGCTGATCGTAGTAGTGATCAAACTGTTATTCGTCGAACAATAATCGAACGCGGTATTCGAAGTGTTAATGATAATCAATCTGGTAGCCGCGCTGCTGTCGAAGCAATGCGGAATTTTCATCATCAACATGAAGAAGAAAAACGTGAGATGCGAGACCTTAATCAAAAATTTAGTGCCTATCTTGATCGGGTTAAATTTCTTGAAACACAAAATCGTAAACTACAAGCACAACTGGATGAACTGAAACAAAAATGGGGTAAGAGAACACTTCTTCGAATCGAAACACAAAACGAAACTCGTCGCTTCTTGCACTCTAGGTTTCGATTCGGGCAAAGTGAAAGAACAATATGATCAAGCATTGGTGAATTTACGAAAGCAAATCGATGACGTTACACGTGATAAAGCTTTAGCCGAATTACGTGCTAAACGTGCGGAATACGATGCATCTTTGATCAAACATCAAACTGATTTCGCCAATGAACTAGTTAATCTTGATCGTAATCGTTTTGCGATGCTTAAACAACAGCTCGAAGGCAGCGGATCGGAACTGGACGCTTTACGCGGCCGTTATGAAGATAAAAAGCAAGAAATCGAACGAAGCAAAAATGAAGTCAAACGTCTGTTGGAACAACTAGAAAATCTGAAGAACGAATTCGATAGTGAATCAATGGCTCGCGTGATGATTCAGAACGAATTACAAACTTTAGAAGAACAATTAGCTTTCATGAAAGCAATACATGAAGAAGAACGAAATGAATTGGCTTCACTTGGCACCTTACCGATTGATGTCAGTCAATTTTATCGAACAGAATTAACNATAATCATATTTTGTTTTCTATTTGCTCGTCAAATCACACATAGCGGGAGCTCATGCTTTGAAAAAAAAACATTCATACATTTATATATGCATATATCAATATCAATATATAAATAAAAAAAACCTTGATTATTTCTTTTTTGCTTCACTACATTACGATGCATAACTAATTATTAATTTGTTCGTGTGTATCATTGATTAATTTAATATATATATATATACTTTTTGTTTTTTCAACACCGTCCACTGTCGCCGTCGTCGTTTATCATTAGCACGCATTTTTTTCACTTTGTTTAATGCGTGAGATATTTCGTTTTTGAGTAGCGAAAAATGTTGCAAGTCTTTCTGTCTTACTCGACATCAAAACGAGCATGACTGACTATTATGAGCATCATCTTTGAAACAAAGAATGAAAACACGACAATTATTTCTCTTTAGGTCCTATTGCTATCGATCAGGTAGATCCACAAGGTAATTTTATTGTTATCGAGAATGCCGGTTCAACAGGTAAAGATCAAGACATGAAGGGCTGGTCATTACGACGCAAGATTGATAACAAAGAAGATCTTGTTTATAAATTTCCGGAAAACTTCGTACTTAAATCACGATCACGTCTTCGCATTTTAAGTCGTAATGCAAGTAAAGGTTCAATCAATGAAAAAGAAACATTAGTAGCCGACAGTGTTCAAACATGGGGTACAGGTTCGAACATGATTACACGACTTCTCGATGATAAAGGAGATGAAAAAGCTGTATTCAACCAGAGATTCCAATAAATTAAATGATAACACTACCGATATTCATTCTCGACGACGATCAAGAAAACACCGGCTCATCCTTTTTCTTTTTTTTTGTCTCTTTTTGTTCCTTTTATTAAATTAGAAATGAAAATTCCTTTACCCTTATCTTGTCTGTTGTTCTTTCTAGACATAGAGAAGTTTGTGTGTGTGTGTGTGTGTGTGTAATTGTGTGTTTTTCGTATATAGACAACTTGTCTTTGACTGTTATTATTATATTATCGAACTCATCTTTTTGAAATTCTGTGAAAATCTTCTTGTCTTTTCTCTTCTTTGCCATCGAACACAAGATCATAACATTTTTCATATATCTTTTTAGGTTAAACCGCTTTTATCTTCTCTTCAGTTTTTTTTTGTCATTTTCCTATTACTGCTCTGCTAATAAACCAGACACACACGTATAAATACAAATATAAATGAAGAAAAGGTAGAAAACACCGCATACGGATAAATAGTTGGTTTGTTTTTCTGTGTAAGGATTAGTTCTCGATTACTTTTTGTGCGTGTTCGTTTTGTTTCTTTCTCTTTTTCAATGGGTTTAATCTACTACTGTGTTTTGGTCTATTATTTTTGTTGTTTTCAACTCTTTTCTTCTTGTCTCTTGTATTTCATTTGTGCTACTTGAAAAGTTCGTTTGCAGAAACCTTCATGCGAAGAAAACCAATATGAAACATGTCTAATAAACTAGAGGAAGACCTTGAACATCGCCTTAAATATCAACGAAATATTTTCGAAAAGGTCATGAAAAGAATTTCATATTTAAAAACGTCTCAAGGAGAAAAATATCAACTATTTACTGGTTTGTTTGTCAATGTTACTAACAATGACATTATCTGATAATTGCTACATACATCGATGATAGACTAGATCGACTGTTGACAGTATCCTTGTTAGAAAAAGAACAATATACATTCCCTCCCTACGCATATGTTGTCTAGTAGACCGATCGGATGATGCAGTAGAATATTTTCGAAGATATTCCTCATCTCAATATAATTTTCTGCAATCTGATTCAGTTGAAGAGAAACGGAAGCACGAATTATTTATTTGCAATCGTAGAACTGATAATATGACCATGAAATACGATCTAACGCACTTGCTGACAGAGATAAACAGTAACAACTGCTCTCCATACGTTCTCTGTTTAAGTTATATCATCGCTACGCAATAGATACTGTCATTTATCTGTGAAATATAAACAGAAGAAACGTATTTCGAATTTCTTCAGTTCGAAAAAGAAAGTGCCGAAGTCCTTCTCGTTCGTTTTGCGAACTTAACGTAATCCCTTCGTTCTCGATCGTATCAAGTTTCCGTTTGCTAGAAGGATAAAGTGCAGAATCTGATCTTTACATTGAATCAACAAAACTTTTTCTTTTATAAGTAGATATCAGTTGTACAGTGTGCGTCTATGATCGATAAGATCAATGAGGTTTTTCAATATAAATGCGTCAATTATTGTTTATTCGTACGCAGCCTTATGTCAAAATTGACGTCATCAGAATGATCATGGTCATGTTTAGACGATGCAGACATGTTCCGTTCGATGAACTGATGACCTATCAGAAGATAACATTGATGAAAAAGTTTCAATTCATCAGTAAACTAGCGCGAATATATTTATCTTCTATTCAACATGCTAAGATTTGTGTTCATATTCGTTTTCATGTTTCATTTTCATCAAGCAACAGGTACACTTGTCAGAAAGTGTTGTCATTCGATTCATTATGTAATCATAGATAATCTATCATCTCGAACTCAATGCCAATCTAATTGGCATTATCTTTCTCAACAGTCACTTTGCGTTATGTTTGCTACATCAGAAATAGGCGATGTGCCATGGTACGATGGATATAAAGGATGTCAAAGTACTAGCGCACAACTGTTAACATTGACACAATCGAATAAATTGCGGTCAATTGAGAATAAAATCTATGATTTAGAGAAGATTGATCAAATTGATTTTGATTATATTCAACGTGGCTCATGGATTGGCAAGGCGAGTAAGAGAAAACGAATGAAGATTGATTATCAATGGAGACATGAGACGTGAACACATTCATTTAGAATGGTCAAATGGTGATCTATGTGACAGTATGAGTACAACGAAAGAAGATCTCGAGTTTAATTGTATGATAATCACTATGCGTTCAGAAGATCAATCATTATGCTTAAAAAGAGTTTCGTGTACAGAAAATCATCCATTTATATGTGAAAGTGAGTTGAGACAAGTTCGTTTAGTTAATGATAATCGTGAAGTTTTACAGGTACGGCATTGACAGCGAAAGAATTAATTGAAAACACGATAGAAAGATTAACATGGTGGAAGTGTATCATACTGATATGGTGTATTGTTGATGACCAAGTTAAAAAAAAGAAAGAAAAAGAAGCACTAGAAGCTCAAAAAGCGGAAATTCAAGCTTATGTTTCTCAATGTGAGTTCTAATAACTAACATTCAATTCATTCAACAATATTCCTTCACTCATAGTTGATTTTGAAATACCCCCAGATGCCGAATTGCCGAGTGAGTTTGTCGAATTTAGAAATTAATTTTACGAAACACAGGTATGTCTTCGTTTAGATATTCAGTTACCTTTAGCAGCAGCAGAAGAAGAAGAAGAAGCTGAACCGCTTGTTGTAGGAGGTAAAAAGACCTAATATGTCAACACTCAAACAAAACCTTTCGTCTAGGTTATCAAGTACCATCATGGCTGGTTTTAGCTGTCGGAGGAATGATATTTGTAGGCGTGATATGTTGTTGTTGTCTAGGGTTTGCATGGATAGTTATGAAATTAAAAGACAGATGATCACGCAGAAATCCAACTTTGATCGAAGTTATTCCAGATCATGACTGAAATAATGAAGAGTTTTGCATTGTTTTCAGGAAAATACAGTATGAATTGTATAAACGAGATGCAATTTTAGCGCCAAATTTATTGCTGTTATCTATGTTTATAATCTATGTCGTATATCATTGAGTTATTCATATTCAGTCTACTTGCGTTCATTCCAAATCGATATGGTAGTAACAATATATGTTGTTTTTTATACGTGTATGTTAAACTTAATAATTAGTTCAAGCAATTAATGAGAGTTGTGGAGGAAACAAACCGCTATGTGATGAACCATTGAAGTGTATAGGTGGACGTTGTTTGTGTTCGCCGGTGGGGAAAACACGTGATAAAGATCAGTCTACTTTTTGGGTATAATTAACAATGAGTTTGATAAAGATTTTAATACCGTTATTGAAGGCAAACGAGAAATGTCATCCATGTCCAATTGGATATTATAATACAGGTAAAACCTATCATTTTCTATCCATGTTCGATTTGAACAATCGATTGTAGCTACGAAGTGAGTGACGTATATCGACTTAGTAAAATGTCTCGTCAACGTAATCGATCTAGATGTTTTAATTTGGTATACACTAAAGGTAGTCAATTGACGTGGGAACGTGCACGTGAACGTTGTAAAGAACAGAATGGCGATTTGCTTGTCTTTCGTTCTGATGAAGAGGTAATAGAGGAACAAAAGGTGAAATTTTACTACAAAACCTTCTTGGATAGTATTATTCGATGGAAACGTTCATCAAAAGTCTTCGAAATGATATGGAGTACGTTCAATCAACGGATACGCAAAGAAATCTATTTTGATATAGAATGCCTCAACGAGTACCACAAGATGGTACCTATTTCGCTAGTATATGGCTTGGAATCAAATTAGCTGATTGGCGTGGAAACGGACGTTTCAATCTCGTCGCTGATGGACCAGCTGTAACTAAAAAAAATCAACATTGGTGGTAAACATATTGCTGTATCCATCGATTTGTTATTCTGTTCTAAGTAAACAGTGGAAAAAGTTCACCTCTCGGACATGAACCAAATTATGTGCAATTAAAAGCCACTGGAGAGCGTCAAGCATGCGTCGGCTTAGCCCTGTTCAAAGATGGTTCCGTTTGCATGCATGATTGGTTCTGCAGTTGGGAATCGTATACACTTTGTGAAGTTCGTAAGTAAATTTGCTCTATTAACTTAGGAAAATATCTATACTCCAAAAAAATCTTAGATCCTCCACCGCTTGCAACTAGTACAGGTATTGAAAAAAATCTGTTTAAGATCAAATAAAACTTTCGATTTCTATAGATATACCCCAAGTATTAGAAAGTATGATTGATAATTGCTAAATTGATGGATAAGGAATTGTTCTGTAGGAAAATCTAGTGGAATGATGGGTTATGTCGTTATTATTACTGTTGTGGTACTGTTTTTGGGGTGTATAATTGGTGCTTTTTATTGTTTGGTCAAGAAGAAAAAACGACGCGGACGTGCACGATCGTTTGATTCGGGAGAAAGTGCACTATCGCAAAATTCGCTCTACTAATTCGCTTTTCTTTGTTATGAAATAAAAACAATCTAAAAAAAAACATTTTATTATATATTTATATACTATTATCTTTACATGACAATAAAAACAAATGAGAAAGAGAAACGGAGGGAATTAAACCAACCTTTTTCATGTTGATTTTTCATTTTAAATTCGATATGTTTGGAAAAAGCCAACAATATCCCTTTTCTATTGTGGTCCAAGTACTTTATTGATGGTTTTCTACCCATAAGAAAAGAAAAAACATATACAAATCCCTTTTATCGTGTGGTCGCAGTCTATATAAGAGCATATCGTGGCAAATGGCAAATTTTAGAAATACAAATTATCTATATGACTCAACCCAGTAGATTAAACAAAGCTCTTTGGAGGAATCTCACTGAGCTAAAGTTATTGAACAAAGACAATGCGCCATTCAAGTTCGCACTGGATAAATCGCCATTCCGCGAAGATGACGACGATGAGAGTGACGAATCTAAACAAGAGCAAACAGAACTGCTGATTATTGGACGAATATTTCCAAATTGTGATACATTTAAAGAAAGTGCTTTCAAAATAGAAATCAAACTCACATCCAAGTATCCTGCCGACCCACCTGAAGTAAGATTTCTGACTCCTATTTACCACCCAAATATAACAAAAGATGGTAAATACGTAAATTTGATCGATAATTTGATTGTCCTTTTACATTACTCGAAGGTAAATTTTGTCATCCGTTATTAGTGAAAAGTTTACGATGGAAACCGCATACATCTTTGGTTGAAGTAGTCAAAGTTGTTGCCGAGCATGTGGATAATCCGGATCTCGATTATGCAATCAATCTTGGTTCGTATCTTTAACTAAAGCTTACGCTTGTCTTCAATAGTTTTTCTCAACTTTTCTCGTGTAGATATTCGCAAGGAGTATACTCATAATAGACCTGAATTTGAATTCAAAGCTGCAAAGATGATCAATGAACATAAGTTGCCACGAAATTAAAAGCGTTATTCTTTCTAGGAATTGAATGTATTTACTCTGTTTTTTTATTCACACTAAATAAACATCTCGAACATATTTATGATTGAAAATGAACTTTCACAGGTCAACGCAAAATACGACGAAAACAACAAATTAATAAATCATTTAATCATTGAAGATGCACATATAATTAATTAATACATCGAGACGCATGTAATGAGCCGTGAAATCAATTACGTATCTTGTTTTGTGTGATTTTCAAGTTCGATTTGTGGAAGGACGAAGGCATGAGTGTGTGAGAATAAAATACGTCATAGGTCCCTAGATATTTTTGTGTTTTTATTTTGTGTGATTCAGATGAAATGCGAGTGTACGCGAAATATTTGACTAGGAAGTGATCGGATAGCATTGCGCTCATCTCATTTGCATTAATAGTGTTTACTTATATAAAAAAAGCATCTTTCGTCTTCTATTTTCATCGACGAAACGATTTGGAGTATTAATTAATACGAAACACTGCCTTTTCTATACGATTTCATTCAGTCCACACAAGTAACCCGAAATTGTCTACATGTCGCGATCGAACATATTATGTAAACGTTTGCACCAAGATATTGCTGAATTGAAGCGTTTGAATACAGAAGATGCCGAAGTTCGATTCAAAGTATTACAGTCGCCATTCGACGATGACGATGACGACGACGACATGCCCAAGAGTGTTGCACAAAAAGAATGTGAACTAATTGGTCTAATCTATCCTCAATCGAATATATACAAAGATGCTGCATTCAAAATTAAAATCAATTTGCCTCCAACATTTCCAATGGTTCCACCTACCGTCACTTTTGTTACTCCAATCTATCATCCAAATGTAACAGACAAAGGTAGGCTAAAACCGGCTGATTCATTCTCGACTCCAGTAATGCATATAGGAGAGTTCTGTAATGGACTGTTAACAAGAAACAGCAATTGGTTATCAACTACATCTTTGATCGAAGTTGTTAAAATTGTTACTCAGCATATCGATGAGCCTGATCCTGCTAATTCGATCCGTGCAGGTTAATATTCGATTTGTTTCACTCATTTTTTAAACATACAAACTGTGACATGTTTCTAGCTGTAGGTGTTGAGTACACAAACAATCGAGCTCAGTTCGAGAAGAACGCACGAGAACATATTTTAAAATATGGTGAACCACGTAAATGATTGTTTCGTTGTATCGTTAAATAAACATCATCATACATACAAACATGCATAATCAAACGACTTATTTTCTTTTTCACTTGACATTTTGCTCTTGTTTATTGCTTTATACGTATTCAATTTAGATACTCTCAAGACATTCGATCATATCAACCAGCAACTGTGATAGAGATCTTTTAAAATAAATAGTGTCCCACTGAAAAATTTGATATTAATATCGATTCACATGATTATCGCGTCGATTCATCATTCAATAATCTAAGAAATACCTATTTTGATTTCATCATGAAAAATCGATGGGAATTTTCTTTCCGATTTTCGATATTTATGATAATACATTGCATCCTACGTCAGCGAACGAAGAAAAATCATCACTAAAACGAGATATCGTCATTCATTCTCATACTCTATTAGTCATTCTTTCATTCAACTATTACTCATGTAAAGCTTGTTAAAGCGATTGGTTGGAAAAAAATCCGGAAGAAAGAGTGACGCTTATTTGTTGTCGTTCTGTTCTGTGTTGGAAAAAAAGTGTCGTTAACAACGTGCTTCTCTTTTTAAACGCTTGATTCGTTCTGTACGACCAAGCAGGTGTATATAATGCAGCGAACATAGTAGGATACGGAGGATTTTACTGCAAAAATTAGCACTCAGCGCGGTGAATGAATCGAAACATACAGCTGAAGGAGCAGTTCGGTATCGTGCGACCATTTCCAACACAATCAACGTACGGAGATAGTGTCTTTCAGAGTAAGATCAAAGTTGTTGGAAAAAACCCAGTAGATGCAAATCACATCTGTTTTTTTTTGCTTCGACTTGCCAGCTAGATGTTATGTCGTGATTCTGTGTATAAGTACAGTTCCTTTTCTTAAACGCGGCATTCTTCTATTAGCTGCACAATCTATTGAAGTACTTAGCTGATGAAGACCTATACAAGTGGGTTAAATGTTTGTACTCATGTTGATTTTGTCCTTTTTTTAGTTTGCTCTCATCGTAAAATATAAAATTTCTGCGTAACGTGCGAGAAGACAACGACATTTTTCATCTTTTGTAGTACTTTTTCGACTAAGCATAGATTATAATTCAAATAAGAAAATTTCATTTTTAACGTATAGAGAACATCATGCGATGAGTATGTTCTTCTACTTCCTTGGACGTTTCGAAAGTTGAGAGAAGAAACGAAAAACACTATTTTTCTCTGTACTGCAGTGAATACGCTTCAAAAGGTCGCTTTTCTTCTTTTATCGATCTCCTTTTTGTATTTGTTTTGCACGCTGACGAGTTAGATAAATAGCTGGGCTTTTTGTTTGCCGCATTTTTCAATAGAAATAATCGTCGAGGTATGGACAACATGTGACTGCTGCTCAGTAAAAATATACTTCAAATTATTTGACTTTTTCAGATAAAACGCGACATGAGTGAGACTAGATTGAATAAAGTTCTTCACAAACAAATCCAGGATTTGAAGCGTTGTAATACACAAAATGCACCGGTGCGATTTCGCGTGAAAAAATCACCATTCGACGATGACGACGATGAATGCGACACCAAAGAAGCAAGCGCTGTCGATAAAACTTATAAGCTTACTGGATGTATATATCCAAATTCCGATATCTACAAAGAAGCAGCATATGAAATTGAATTAGGCTTGCACAAAACATATCCTCTGGAACCACCTGAAGTTCGATTTCTTACTCCTTTTTATCATCCCAATGTTGGCGGTGATGGTAAGATGCTCTTCGGAAAGCATGTGAATAATCTTGGCTGTCTTTCCTAGGGAAATTTTGTCACGAAGTATTGAAAAAAACAGTGGAATGGAAGTCGAATACTACTCTCATCGATGTAGTGAAAGCAGTTGTGGACAGGATTGATAAACCGGATGTTGATCAATCGATAGTCTTTGGTGCGTCTTTTAATGTCTTGTTAGTTTTCGAGATTAATTTCCGTATTTTTAGAAGTGGGCAAGGAGTACGTCGATAATCGAGCTGAATTCGATCGTAAAGCAGCAGAATTTGTTAAAAAACATGGACTACCGCGAAACTAAACGACTTCGTACATGAACTTCGATGTTTTTTCGAATACTAAAAAAAATAAACCAGGCTTAATGTGCATATTTTAATCTTATCATCAGAGAGATATTCTTATTACATTCAAATGTGGTCAATTTAGATAAACTTCGCTCATTGAAACTAAAAATAGTCAAAACACTAACGAGATTTCCATTGAAAAAGTTTGTTAATGATTTGTTAGCAAAAGTATTTCGTGTATCTTGCTCGCGTTTGTGCAATTACTCGAATACGTCAACAGAGAAGACGAAAATAAACACAGCCAACACATGCAATAGAACCTGGATTGAATTTCAGTTTGTAGATCATTCATGACTTTTCTTCTTAACTTGTCAAAAACATCTTCAAGAGGATAATCGCATCTAATAGATTGTCAAATCTACTTTATGATTTAAGAAAAACCGTGTTTTTTTTATTGAAATCTGGCATTAAAGGTGAAACAACCGAGAAAAACGAGCAACAGTGCCGTCTAGTTCATAAGTTTACCTTCAGCGAAAAAAGAAACATTATCATTTCTATTTTGCTGACGAATATAGCGACGTTATTTCATTGGCTGACAAAGTCATCTAATCCATTCGCTCTTCTTTTTATTTCACAAGCAGCAACAACAGCTATGTTGTTTTTTCGAGAAAGATCCAACAACGAGTCCTTTTTTTCTCTTTTTTTCTTCAACTATCATGTTTTTACATTCTGTTTTTCCACCTCAACGTTTCTGACGACAAAAAAGTGATAGATTGTTTTTTATTTATCATCATATCTTTTCTTTTACTAAATACACAACAACATTGCACAATCGTTTAGAAATCATCTGCTTATGAGTAATTATGACTGTATGAATTCTTCTTATACGTGAATGAGAATCAAAGAGTATATTTACCCATGGAAAAAAACTGGCAGTATCTTTTGTAGAGTTATGGGAAGAAATCATAAAATCAAATGGTAAATGAGTGAATTTTACTTTTATCTACTTTCAGATAGAAATCCATGGCGAGTTCGGGAACAAACAGACGTATCTTGAGTGAAGTAACCAAACTTCAAGCATTAGCATCGAGCAGCGAATGCAAATTTCTTCTTGATAAATCGCCTGTCGATGATCCGTCATCGAATGTCATTCTGGGAAGAATTTTACCTAAATCTAACATTTACAACCAAGCAGCATTCCAAATAGAAATCAAGTTACCAGCAGAGTACCCATTCAAGGCACCTGAACTTCGGTTCGTCACACCCATTTATCATCCTAATGTCGATGAAAAAGGCAAAATTTGTGTTGATTTAATCAACACATCAGAAACTTTCAAGCCTACAACACCTTTGACTGACGTTGTCAAAGCTGTAGCCAATTTGATTGATAGTCCAAACATCGATCATGCACTCAATCCTGGTACGTTATTATTTCACGAAAAATGAAGTTTTCTCTTTCAAACTAATTTTTCGTTGGTTTTCTGTAGAAATCGCTGCCGAATATACGCAGAATAAATCCACATTTGAACGCAAAGCATTGGACCTGGTGAAAAAACACGGTTTACCGCGCCAGTAACATACGAACACAAAAAAAAACTTTTTGTTTCTCTCTTCCCTCCTTCCGGTTTGGCTTTTATTTCGTTCTTGTCTAAAAAATGAACTGTGATTTGGGTACACAAAAGACAAACGCGACCATGTCTATGTGTAACATTTTGTTCGGTGTCTGAAAGCATTCAAAAGAAAGATCAGTCTTGTATTTTTACTTTTTATGATTGGTGAAAGAAAATAAATAAAACTCAAAGAATAAAACAAACCGTCATATGACGATGTTGTGTTTTTCTTCTTACTTTACGTGCTTGTTTTTAGCAGCAGTCAATTGATACTTTCGAGCATGATTCATGCACGAATGAAACCAATCTGTCATTCTCTTTTAGATGGCATCAAAACATATACGTTTACTAAAAGATCTTGCTCATATTGATGAAACTTTCAAATCCGATCGACTATTTTTCATAAAGAAAAAACTCGATGCATCGACCTGTGATGCCATCCATGAAACGGATCTCACTCATCCGATATTTATCTATACGCCTCAACAATCGCCTTACCTTGGTGGAGAATTTGAAATCGAGATAAGTTTGCCACTGGATTATCCATCCACGACACCGCGTGTCAAATTTCGTACGCCGATTTATAGTCCTGTCGTTGACGAATCAGGCACGTTGTCATGTTTACCGATTCTTCAACGCTGGCAGACATATCCAACAAATTCCGTCCAATTACGTGATATACTTGTAGAAATCGATTATTATATTACACATTTAGAGGACGTGGACGAACCTCATCGGCCAGGATTACTTATCGAATGGAATGATGATCCAGCTGGATTTGTAAAGACAGCTGAGCAACAAACAAAAGAATTAGCGAAACCACAAAAACGATAGACAGCCTTCTTCCTTCGTTGATATTGATCTACTCCGCCATATTTTATCAAAATTTATTTGATGTTGTCTTGTACGTATTGTATATTTCTAGATGACTGAACTTGATATGCGCGAGCAAATGACGGACGTCACGGCGTCATGGCGTGTTTATGATGAAATTAGCTATAGGTATGTCCACGTTCATATCTAAAGTTAATTCGAGGACGAATATCTACTATGGTATCTTAAACTTTCTCTTTCAATACAGAAAAGTGGAATCAACTGTGCTGACTGGTGGTTTGACTCAAATTCGAGATGTTCGTAGTTCGGCAAGCGATACAATTAAACCTTTTGTTGCAATAGCTCCATGTGGAGGGCCAGTTGGTAAACGATCACTTGATGTTTAAGTTAATCGTGTAATACTGTTGTTCACTATAGCTTTTGTATATAAGAGACCGTCAACGAACTCAAACGATACTAAATATACAATAATGATAGAACATTTACCAAAACTTGCTGTGAAACCCAAAGAGGTAAGTCGAACAATGCAGTTCAAATTGAAAACTGTCTTTAACAAACTGTTTAGTTCGATCGAGGAATAGTTATTTTCGTCGACTGGACAATCAATGAAGATTTATTATTAGTGACTGAAGATGGTAAATATCATATCATGAATATATTCCATTATAACACAAGTAACGATGTGTCAAAGCAACTGGGTGAAGTAAGTTTCATTTCTAATTACCCTTACGATTGCATCATCCACATCCTAGTCCGTTTCAGTCATTAGTAGCGCATGTACATTCAAAACCAATCAAGGCACTGGTTTAGTTGCTCTCGCCAAGAATCAGGAAAGTTTCATTACTGTTAAAAACGTCTATAGTCCAATTATTCAAACGATATCACCTAGTAAGACTCACGATCATTCCAACCAAACCTAACTATCGTTCTTTTTTAGGTGCTGATCTTCGTTCAACAATTTCTGCATGGTGTGTTATTGACCATGCTGAGTTGACTATAGCTTACGCCTATGACAATATCATAGCCACATGTGGTACAACATCTCGACGAGAACAAGTAAATAGACATATTCCTTCACAAGAAGAAAAAAAGTTTTACCTTCTAGCAAATCATTCCTGGTATAACTGATACGATTGTTAAGCTAGTATCAAGTAGCAATTACAAAAGTATAGCTGTACTGCGTGATAATGGAGATGTGTTTATTGGTTCGAGAGAAAATATCGGAAGTCCACAATCATTTGTATTGAAATATTCAAGTAATAATGATAAGGCAAAAATCACCGATATTGCTTGGTACGAGGAAGAACCATTCGAAGATTTTCATAGAAAAAGTGCTTGTGTTTTGAAAGGTCCGGCTCCGATACAGTCATTGGCATTCGAGTTAAATCAAAGGTTTGGTTTGATTTATTGATCATCAATGGCAAACATTCGCGACCGATGACGTTCGTTTCATGCTTGTATCATTTGTCTAATGTAACATTTGTTTTCTTAGTGAAGAAAGTCGACAAGCAATATCCGATGATTTGTAAGTTGGAAATCTTCACTTTTGATATTTTCACTGAAATCTGCGTTCAAGTCTTTATTATACATCTCCTGTGTATCTAACAACTGAAATTGATGGCATTCGAATCGCATCGGGTCGATCACTTGATTTCTTTCAACGTTTACCCGACGAAATCTACAACGTTCTTCATCTACTATCCGATAGTCCTGGTGCTAAACTTTATTCTGCTTACATGAACTACAAAGTAAGATTTTCTCTTGACAAAAAACTCTTGTTGAAAATCGAAATCGATTTTCAGTATGAAAATCAAATGGCTGAATTGCTGTTAAATCAATTAAAATCAACTCGAACAACCAATGGGCTCGAAGAAGGTGTGAAACAATGTATCGCAGCAGCGTCTCATGAACATGATTCAAAAATCCAAAAGATTCTTCTGAAAGTAAGAACAAAACTTCTTCTAAATTGATCAATTTCACTGGATATTTTCTATTAGGCCGCACTCTTCGGTCGTTCGTTCCTATGTGTTAATTTAAATCAACCGAAAACTTCCGTTCGTCCAACTGTATCTGTCATCAACGATTTATGTACAAATACAATTCGTAATCTACATCTAGTCAACAACTTACATCACATTGATATATCCATTCCAATAACATATAAACAGTTCGAGATTTGAATAAGTACTTTGATGTCTTTTGCTCATTGAATTCAATCTAGATTTGAACTACTTGGAACACGAATACTGATCGATCGTTTACTTCGACGTAATCTGCATGAATTCGCAACACATGTTACGAAATTGTTACGTATGCCACCGGAAGAAGGAGAAAATCGAATTCTTGTACAATGGGCTGTACAACAAGTATGCGAGAATATCATTTTCTCAAAAGATCACTAGTGTGATACATTTAGCTCAATGATCCTGCGAACACCAATGAAGAAGCTATAGCTGAATCGATAAAAAAAAGTCTTGCCAATGTTCCTGGTATTCCATTTATAGATATTGTCAAAGCAGCAAATCAAGCAAAGAAATACATTGTTGCTGAACGAGTAAATAACGCATTTCGCCAGTTATTTCGAATCATAAATGATTTATATTTAGTTATTGGATGTCAAAGTTAGTCTTAGCGATCAAATCGATATGTTGTTAACGTTAAATAAACGAAATGAAGCTTTGGACAAAGCACTTGCGTGTGGTGATACGGATCTAGGTGAGCATAACGCCTGTTTTGAATGAAATCATCGATTTTTCACTTTAGCAATTTTCGTATTGATGAGGATAAAATCAAGTGGTGATGTGTCCCTAACTGACTTCAATTTAAAATTAGCGAAACTGAAAAATTTACCGCTGAGCTTATTGCTTCAAGTACGAGAGAAAACGATCGATTGCGCTTGTTTAAATTCGTATGTTTTAGTGTTTAGAAGAACGTGATCGAAATAATTTTCATAATGAACTGAGAAAGCAAAATTCCAGCGAACGAGAACGAGTTGCTTACTCACATATTATTCAAAGATTCACCACAGCTATCGTAAGTCTATTGTCATCATTTTCGATAGCATTATTTAACTTAAATCTGATGTTAGACAATATCGGATCAAAGAAGTGAATTGATCAGTGCTTCAAAGTTGTTTCGCGAAGTGAAAAACGACACTGTTGCTCAGGTAAAATCCTACAAAGTACACATTCGATTATCATCCATTTGTTTTCAGTTAGCCGAAGATGAAGCTCGTTTATTGAGCAAACAAGATGAACTAGAAAAGAAGTTATTTACAATTCAACTGAAAAGTTTATCGTTAGTTGACACATTAGAAACATTGATCATTCAATACGAGAAAGATGCTGACATTCTTCGAAAGGATTTCAACGTGCCTGATAAGCGATACTGGTGGATTAAAATTCAAGCATACGCAAAGAAGAATGCGTGGGTGCAATTGTTAGAATTCGGAAAAAAACAAACGTCACCCATCGGCTACGAGGTAAAGTAAAAGCAAAGTTCGTAGAATCTACGTCGTTTTCGATTTTAGCCGTTTATTGATGTTTGCATTCGATACAAACGAATCGATGAAGCTCGTCGTTTTCTTGATCGATCGGTTTATTCGTTGAAACTTGATGAAAAACGTCTTCCATTCATGTACGCAAAAGTTCAGTAAGTCAGAGACAATTTCTTCTACTCAGATCGATTCGAAATTCTTTTCAAAGAATGGTCGATGAAGCAATCGAATCTGCAATGAAATTGAAATCACTCGATGCACTACATTTCATTGAATCGACGCTTCAACTAGACGAAGCACGTACTGCTCGCGTTCGTCAAGCGATCGAGAAATTACACGGCTATGGTGATAATCCATTGAAACATGTCTTCGGCTTTTTATACCGCGGTAATGCAGCGGATGATTGAAAATCAATTAATTCAGATTCGACCAATGATTCCAAGTGTGAATTTTTTTATGTGCTGATTATTTAATTTAAAAAAGGAGAAAATAAATGCTATTTTTTTGTTCACATTTCCTACTTATTCCGCCTAGCGTCGATCGTTACATGTCTCTTTTCTACTAAGAATGACATTAAGTCGTCAATGATGTAATTGTTCTAATTATAAAGATGTAGTGGCACATTGATGACGCTTTCTTGGTCACGCCTAATCATCTGTCATGCTGTTCATATGATCACAAGATGTAATAGTCCAATTTTCTCTTATCACTCCCGAATTTTACTTCGGAAACTCATCGCTAATTTCAAAAAGCAGTCATTGATGATTTTCTGTTGCTAATTGTTAAAATTCTGATGAGGATAATGAGCGTTGGATAGTGAAAGAATTTGTTATTATTATGGAGTAATAAAAGACGCGTCTGCTTTCAGCTCTTCCTGAAATGTTGGGTATGCAAACGGCCTATTCGAAGAGAAAAGTGAAAATTTTTAAGAAAAAGAGACAAACTATTCTAATGAGACTCTCGACAGCGTCTGACGTTGAACAGGTGAAATGTACTTCAAGCAAATTAGCTTATTAGATCATTGTTCTCGACTAAAATACGATGAAGAAATTGTTTTCTTGCAAAGATTTCACTTCAAACAGACGTTTGTTTTTCTTCTTGTATAAGAAGAATAAATAATGAATTCTGCGAGTGAGCGAGAGAGAAAAAGACCGGGCTTGAATATCGCATGTGAAACATTCATTTGATAATTAACCAAACTAAATCTGACAAATAAGAAAAGATTCTCGACTGATACTTTCGGTTCATTTTCTTTCTCTATTTTCAGTTCTTCGATCGGATGTCATTTACATCAAGTTTCATATATTTCATCTCGTTTTGTTCTGACATGGACGACAGCAGGTATTTTATTCTATATTGATCGACATCATTATTGAGAATAATAATGCACACAATATACTTTTATAAAAGCATTTAGAAGTTGATTATGTCTGCGAAGGTATGTGTGCATTTCTATGTCAAAATCCGTTTCTAATGTTGTTGACAGTTTAGTGGTTTTCACTTTTTTTTCCTAGTATAATCAAGTCAGTGAGTAAGAAGAACAAGAAGAAGAAAAGAACAGAGGAAAATATCTTTTTTTTTCTTCTCTTCTCTTCGATAAAGTGAAAAAGGAGAAAAAGTGTTCATCAAAAGAAAGAAAGTGCCCGTCGATTCGGATGAAGAGGAAATAGGTGGCTAGAGGTGTGTATTAGTCTTGAAAATCAAGTCTATTATATAGAATTTATCACATTATGACAATGTTCGCTAATTATCTATCTTCTTCTACTTATACTTTGGTGCAGAATTCCCTCGCTCTGATGAACGTGTCAGCAATAGACATGACTTTGACAAAAAATAATCGATTCGTGCTGAATAGGAAGAAAAGTCTTGTGTATTGAACTGGAATTCGTCGAACAGGTAGCACCAAAAGACTATTTGCATCCTTTTTTTGCAGCTTAAAAAGAATGTGAATGCCTTCTTACAGTGGCCTGTTTTCCACTCACGTGGAGTTGTAATTCTAGATTTGATAAACATGGGGAATGTCTTTGACGATCAGCTGTGGAATGACGTCGCTTCTCGAGTTGAGCAATCGCGTTCTTCGTACAACATTCAAGCTGAACAATTTCGCTCGCTGAATACAAATTTTCAAACATATTTAATCGATATAAAACAAATTGATGATGACAACAATCGCTTGCAGAACAGTATTGAAGAAATTCGAACGAATTATATTCAAACATTAGAGAATCATCTGAAACGTTTACCGGAAGACTTTCGACAAGAGAGTTCGGTTTTGACTGATGCTCATCTCCAGCGATACAAATCGAAAACTCGTGCGAAGCGTTTCATAAATGAACGCGAAGAGATCAAAAAACGAATCAATTTTGTGGTTAATAATGAAAAAGAGCAGCTTAAACGTTTAAATCAGTTGCAAAGGCAAGATCGTGCTATTCAGAATGAATTGAAATGTATCAATGAGCAATTACAAAGTGCTTTTAATCATGTCGAAAGAGAAAAGCAGATTCACCGTCAGGCAACGGATAAAATCGATCAATTACAAATGCAGTTGGAACAAGTTTATGTCGAACGATCGAAAACTGAAGTAAGATTTTATTCGAAAGGAATTTTTCATGTCTAAACCTGACGAATTCTAGTTTGAAGTGCAAAGTCTTCGAGAAGAAGTGAAGCTGATGCAGACTGCAAAGGAATTTCTTGATGAAGAGTATGAAACCATACTCGAAGCACAATCCGATGCGAATCTGTATCTTTTATCGTGTTTAAATGAATCTATTCTGCGTATACACGATGATTTCGAACATTTGAATAACCAGCAAATCGAACAGATTGAGAATGAATACAAACAAACGATGAAAAAGTTCGAAGAAACATCTCTAGCGAATGCAACAGACAATGAAACAGAGATCGATCGGCAACATACGTCTCAGACAGAATGTGGAAAACTTGAAGAAGAATATCAATCAATCAATGAAGAATTAACAAAAGTAAATGAACATAATCGATTGTTAACTGAACGTATCTCTTCTATGGTAAGTTCAATAGATTTGCTCTTAGTTTCAACTGAAAATATTCATACAGGAAACGGATTTACGTGCCATACGCAATACGCACTTACGAGAATCGAAAGATAAAGACAATGAATTGCAACGAAGTAAAATCGCATTGGAAGCTTTGAATGAACAGTTGATACAGTTGACTGAATACGATCGAAATTTGCAATTTGAATTGACACTCTATCGAGGGGTTTTGGAAAGCGAATATCGACGAAAACAACAGCAATTAGTTAATGACCAACAGCCGCACCGACCAACGGTATTGCGAACGACACTCACACGAGTGCATAAAACTTATCCTGTAAGTAGATGAGTGCGAGAAGGAAAGAAATTGATCTATGTTTCGTGTTGAAAGATTTTACCAAATGTGAACCAAACTGAACTCAGTGAAGAAAAGAACGATGTACCGTCTAATGAATCTGAATTATCAACAATTCATGTAGAAGATGATCAAATTGAGAATACAGAGAACCAGTCAAGAGAATCAGAAAAATCACCCGATGATAATCAACAAATGAATATGCCGAAAACTCCTCTACAGTCACCGTTGGAAGTTCAAACAGTAATGACCAATAGTGAAAATCGACCTGATGCATCATCATCATCATCATCTACTTCTAAGGGAAATAGTCTATTCGAAACGATAACGTATTTAACTTCGTCATTGTTGGGAAAAGACGAAGATTCAACCAACAGCGATGACGCACAAACCGCATCTGCAAAACATGGCGACGAGTCATCCCAATCTGTTTTAACAACCTTAGAAGATAAACAAATGCCAGAGACGTATCAAGAGCATTTTACTGATTTAGACATTGTTGAAAATCAGCAAGAATCTAAAGAAGTTCTTCAACCACTCTTAGTCGACTCAGAGAAGCATGAATCATGGATTAAATCGCAAGACAAGCCAATATCTCCTGTTAAAGAAGAAGCCAACTACTTAGAAACATTGTCATCATCATTAAAGCAACTCGTGAAGTCGTTTGAAAGTGATCGAATACCCGACAAAGAATTAAAATCGAACGACGAAAAAATTGTCACATCTCCAACGAATTTTTCATCTTTAGTACAATTTGATGAGCAGCGAAACTCGGCAATGTCACCTATCGAATCTACTACACCGGAGAACCAAACACAATCTGACGTATCATCACCCACATCTTCATCGTTGCCATCGACGATTTTGCAAAAACCCGTCACAATTTCAGAAGACCAGTCACCTACATCATCAGAAAGTCAACAATTCCCTGCCAGTAATCATCAAGCACTAGAAGAAACATCAGTTATATCTACTGATGAACCGTACCCATCGAATTCCATGGGTAAATGAGCATTATACGTATAACTTATTCAATAATCTATTTTTCGTAGGAGATATGGGTAATGGAAATCATTTGGCAGAATCATCTGACGGATATGATAACGATTTTGAATCAGAAGAGAAAACCAAATCATCATTTTCATATGAAACTGACGACGCTGAACAAGATCCATCGCATCCGTCAATTTACCGTATCGAAGAATTGGAAACCGATCCATCTGATAAAGAAGAATCGTCTTCTTTTGATGTATCAAACGTACAACAGTTTCCAAATTCATCTGGAAATAACGACTCGAAGCTCGAAGACGATCCTATAACAAGTGAAGAACCAGTTAGTTCTTCTAATTACAACCAAATTGAGGAGAATAGTGACATTGGTTTTATCTCCTCCTCAGGTTATTATGGAACTGCAAACGATTGTACTCATTTGCTAAATCAAGAATTGAAACGAGCCGAATCAAGTGAAGCATCATTAACTGATGTGTGTGACGACAATGTAGAGCCATTAGAAGGTCGGTACGAACGATAACTCTTCGCAGCGAACATGTTTCTAGTCTAGAAGCTGATCGATCAACTTCTCCTAAACTCGAAGACAAGGAATCGAATGAAACCAGTTTAGCAGCTGTTATGGAAGGTATGCAATCGAAACAATGTTTTCTACCTCTGATCCTGAAATAAAACACTTGCTTGTTTAAATTAGATCTTCGCTATGTCTATCGAGATCTAGCTAATGAAGATGATCTGGTTGAAATCGACGACAATTTTTCCGAACATCTGATCGATAGATTAGAATTCGGCGATAATATCATTCGCACGCTTTTCGATAATTTTGTAACAAAATATATTATCCAACCTGCTGCTACAGGAAGTAAATAATTCTTTACATCTTCATATCAATTGTCTCTGTCGTTATCTAGCTCGCTCGAAAACATTGGATTGGACTGAATTCCGTGATGTACTTTTCCCTATCATTACTAGTCGTTACACGGAAAGGCATATTCGGAAACTGTTTGACTTGTTCGACACAAGTAAAGATGGATTTCTATCATTCGAAGAAATCATCGGTATAGACATAATCAAATATCTTGTTTTTCATTCTCGAAACCATTTCTTATAGATTTATTCGATCTTCTTCAAGTTAATAATTCAACTGAATTGGCACATTACATGATGAATGAATTCGGGAAGAATCGCGATGATCAACTGAGCATTGATGGTAAGTTTATCGAACTGATTTCCATCACTTATTTCCTATGAAAATGCCTAGAATTCGTTGCTATCGTGAAAAAAACTGATGATATCAATAATAGTATTCTTCCGGAAAAGCTGGAAGCTAAACATTGGTTTAGTATCCATCCGAATGCAGATGAAAACCAGCCGATTTCCTTACCAGTCCCGATTATCAATTTTCCACCGAAAACGAACGTCAGTAATACTGAAATGCTCAACAATCACATGATCTGTCGGTAACAGAACATTTCATTCGAATCAATGAGAAAAAAGTTTTCATTTAGTATTGGCCCGAATCTTCAAAAGAGTCGGTGCTGATGCGGAAAACAAACAATTGGATAGTAAAAAATCAACATTGGCAATGAAATTGACAAATGACTTCATTAATAATAACATTCTTATATCGAATGAAGATCTGCACTCGTTTATCGACTTATATTTGAACCAAAAGCAGAACTCGGGTATTGTTAATCGAAAGAAAACACTTGAATAACATGTCAATCGATCGACATTTAGATTGCTTTGTCACATGGGAAGAATTTCGAGATATATTTCTTCCAATTGTCAATAATGGAATAGTTACTAAGGAAGATTTGTCCCGTTGGTTTAACATCTTCGATTGTAATCATCGTAGAAAAATTGACAAAGAACAGTAAAACTTTTCTTGCATACAGATGCTCAAGGAGTTCTCTCGATCGTTTTAGGATTCTTCAATTACTTCGCTTGCTGCAGTTCACCGATCCGGAGAAGATTCTCAATGAAATGAATGAAATTTCGGAAACGTACACGAATAACGATGATTCATTTACACTTGAAGGTACTCTTCGCTGTTGCCTTTGGAATATGTTGGATACAATTTCGTTTAGAATTTCTCTTTGCTTTCGACAACACTGATGAATCAACATCTCGTCTTTGTTTGGCCAATGAACAAGTAAAATCCTACGATCTCGACTGGTTAACAAAAACTGTCTTCTAAATATCGATATTCATATGCTTACTCAATCCCCCGCTTTCCTTTTATCTTCATCTCATGGCATTACTATTTTAATCACACTCAAAACTAATGCTTCTCAACTAGAGTAGTTTTTCACATAGAAACAGCAAACAACTTTTATTTTAATAGTGTTCCGAATAAAACCACGCATGTACATTTCTCTTCCAGTCATTTGAGTTGTTTGCTTTCACCTGTACAATCTGATCAAGGCTGGTCAGTTTGGTTTTCTTGGAAAAATCAATCCAGCATTGTTTATCTTCGCTTTACGCAGCAACGGAATATTTATCAATGGTGTAAACAAGACCGATTGTACCGGGAGACTAACCGAAAGAAGAAGAAAAACATTTCATGTATAAAGTTCAAACAAAATTGTTTTTATTTACGGTATTTGGACTATTGACATAAAGATCAACGGCAGCCGCTAGAAGTCAAAACCACAGATATATCGAGTGGAAACAAATTTTCGCTTACTATCAGTCACATATGGATCAAACATGGTATTCGATCGTAGGTAGTCACTTCAGTTAAAATAAAACTTTGCCTGTTCTGAGCATAGCCACTTTCACGAGTTTATAAACATCAGACTAAGATATGACTTTTGTCAGAAGGACGCAAAAATACCGCCATTGTTGTTTTAATGAAACACTTTACTAAACAACACACGCATTAGTCTATTCTTATATGCAAACACTCTCGACGACTTTTTGAGAACTGATCTCGTTGCATGTGATTTTCGTTCCTCCTGTCTGTTCTTTTCAACGTCTTCTTATTATCGATGCATTCTACCTGATTTCAGCAAAATCACACAGAATGGTAGTTTTCGTGATTCAATAGACACGACGTAGGCAATGCCACCCGCGGAGGTACACAATTTCAGAGAAAATCTGTTCTGTCAATGGTGACTGCAACGTACGAATAGAGATGTGAGAAGTATTCTACTAACACTGTCAAATCAACAAAGAGACAATAAAACTGTCGATTTCAAAAGTAGAGTTTGAGAAGATCATTCACATTCCGTTCTTATCTTCCACTGATAAAGTGACACAATCCTTTTTTTTTCGGCGATTTTATTATAAAAAAAAATCAGTCTCTCATATCTGCATACAATTTTTTTATAAGTATTTTAAAATAAAGTCAGAAATAGTAAATAATTAAAGATCATCTTGGATTATCATATCAGATCTGTAACTTTGTCTGAGTTCCATTTCACTGTTAACAAATATTTTGATGATAACATAATTTCTCACGATACAGCTGAGTAGTGTTGTATTCTGAATAATACCAATCTTTCTTTTCGTTTTTGCACTTCGGGAGTTGGTTGACCAATGGCAAGACCGATTCCATTTGGATTTTGTAGTACACTTTCCATGTAAAAGCGAGCAGCTGTATCTAAATACCGTTAAAAAAGCAATTAACAATTTACAAAACTTCTTTTCTCGACTTACCATCAGCTGTCTGAACATCGAATGCAGTTCCACTCATTGAATAGTTTTCGTTAATGTAGTAAGGATAAGCGAATTTCTGTGTAGATGAGCTTCTATATATATGCAGATACTTTCCATGATTTTAGGGAAGGGAAGTGTAGAATGCGAGTGATGACTTGCGTTTGTTTGACGTCATGACACAGGTGACGGTATACAGTTGGCAGAACGAAAGAAAAAAATACGAATATCATTAGTTGGCTTTACCTGTTGTTACATCAGTTTGGATATTTCCAAAGCGCACTTGCAACATTTAATTTTATACCGTTATCGTGACTTTTATCTATATATGACATTTTGATTAGCGTAGTTTGACGGTAGTGATGAGCTGGCATTAGATGGCAAACTCCAAGCGAAACATACGTACTCCTCATTATTTTCATATTTGATATGATGTAGATCAAAGTATTAAGATAAAATCATTGCAAACATGGATTTCTGAAAGAAAAGGCAGATATCACACACTGACTGAAATTGATCCCACTCAATTGTCAGTTCTGATTGGAATCAGAAGGTAAAAAGATTGAAATTCTCTTGGTTGAAACAACTATATCTATTCTTTCTAGAGCCATTACGACTGATATAGAAAAGTGCCGTTGTTGTTGAAACCTACTGTCACATACATTCTCCAACCCGAATCAATTTGTCATTAGATTGTATATTTCCTAGTACACATCTGTTAACCAATGACCATTTAACTTTCTTTAATCGTAATAATACGATTCCCTGCTAACTAGGAAAAAGCATTCACGAGTTTTTCTATTTCTAGAATGTAAAACAATACGAAAGATAATTTTTCCATCAGTCTTATCATCTGGATGCAAATGAGAACGATAATATCGAATCAAGTTTGAGACTAATGTACATCAACCGCAGGAAATTCTGCCGAGAAAGAGTAATCAAACAGATTCGGCTACTTCTTTCTATCAAAGAACCTGTTGTCAACTGTGTTATACAATCTATACCACTAACTTCAATTTGATGTTATTAATTTCGTCTAGTCACTACCGTTCTATGCAATAGTGTGAGTCTTTCAACAACCATCTCGATTAACATCTTTTTTTTCTTTCTATCGCGTCTGTGTCTGGATCGATTGATTAGTTTAATCTATTGTATAAACTTAGTAATATCATCAAACAAGACCCATACACATTCTTAATAATCCTCAATATGAAATGTATTGTTTTGATGTTCTCGTCATTGTCTTTTGCATATGGGAGAGAGTGACAAGATCGACTAGTGACATTTACTCAACTCAATTGTAGTATTTATTCGACCGTTCTTTTTCTTTTTCTCGCCATTCATCTCATGTTTTACTTCGTTAAATAATCGACTATTTTACAGATGAATTATTCATCATTTTATGGTTTAATATTCATTAACACAAACGTATTTCATTAGAATCCGAGGTGAGAAACAAAAGAAATCGCTTTTCCTTCTTTCACATGTTCTCATCGTCGTCATCCGGGTCAACATAGTCGATGCGCGATATGAATAGGAAACCAACAATGAAGCTGAGTCGTTTACCGATGTGTACATAATCAATGAGGTGCATGCATCCATGCTATATATACTGACACAAAAAAATATGAATCAACTCAATTCAGCGAACTCGTAAAGAAAGTGACGCACAGGTAAGTCTTCAAAAGGATATTTTTCATTTGTATGTGTGTGTAGATTTTGAATATTTTCCTAGAGAAAGAAAATCTAGGCGTGCAAATAATGATTTTGTAAGTGATGATGAAAATGGCATCGAGAGGAGAATGTTCTCATCGAGATCACCGATAGCATACGCGAGAAAGTGTTTTTAATTCTATTCATGATTAATTTTCTAAACAAGTCAAAAGAAAAACATTGATTTTATATTAACTGAAGTCTTTCTCGTCTTCTTGTTCTCGTCGTTATTTTTAAACGAAGAAAAATTAGTTTTTTTTCTTCTGTAATCATTGATATACCCCTTCGAATCAGGTTTGATCGATGTAGGAAAGAAAGAAGAACAGAAGAAGAAGAAGAAGAAGAAAAGCTTCTTTTTTT